CCTCCCAACGGCACTTCCCAGAAACCTGGATAGGGGACCACACCGCTCGTAGTTACTAAGCAGCTTTATGGGCAAAACGAACAGTATGTAATACTCGGCAAGCTCCTCAACAACCTGCGAGACCCGGCAGAGCAGGCGCCAAAGCGCGCAACGTACATGCGCGCATGGCACTGACAAAAAAAGATACCTTCCTAGACCCTAAACCCTACACCCTGAACCCTAAACCCTGAACCCCAAACCCCAAACCCTAAACCCTACATCCTAGACCCTATAAAACCTACACCCTGAACTATCAACCCTACACCCGAAACCCTAAACCCTGAACCCTAAAGCCCAAACCCTAAACCCTACACACCGAAACCCTGAACCCGGAACCCCAAACCCTGAACCCTGAACCCCTCTGATTCCGCCGAAATGCCCAGACTGGTCAAACACGTCCTGCACACCTCGGGGTTCCCGGAGTCGCGTTCGGAAGGGTTTCCCTTAAGGGTATCCTTGAAGGTTCCTTGAAAAGGAGGGATAGGGCCAGGGTTTAGGGTTTAGGGGTTTAGGCTCCTTGAAAGGGTTCATTTAGAAGGAGGGATAGGGTTAAGGGTTTAGGGTTTAGGGTGAAGGTTCCTTGAAAGGGTTCCTTTAAAGAGAGGGATCGGGTTTAGGGTTTAGGTTCCTTGAAAGGGTTCCTTTAAAAGGCTACGTTAAAAGGGTTCCAAACAGAGGGCCCGAATAATTGGACGAATGTTGTGGGGTATGTTATAACACAAGTACAACAGTAAGGAAAGCAAAGGAATACTAGCGGCATTTGGGGCTGAACGCTGTTGTTCCGCGTGTTCGGGATCGTTTCGTTTTTGTCTAGGGTTTACGGTTTCGGGTTTTAGGGCTTATAGGGGCTTGGGTTTGGGGTTTTAGGGCTCAAGGCTTTGGGTGCGGGGACTCGGGTTTTGAGGCTTGTGGCTTTTGCCCCGCTGAGGGTTTCGACAGGCACTAGCTAGATACGGGTTTTGGGGGAGATCATTGTATGGGCATAGTAAGGAACCCTGAAGGAATACTATCGGTAGGTATTGGGCTTCTACATTAAGGTATTGCGGCTTCTACATTAGGCGGCATTTAAGCGGTTTCTAGTTAAGCAGTTTCTATTGTAGGATTTGAGACTTTATCCTGCGCGGTGTCAGTGCTTAGAGTTTTGGGAATTTCGGAACAATCAGGTGGGCGGCTGCTGCACAAGCTATCTTGTAGGGGAGTTCCGAAGGGGCCTTTACTCGTGACAAGTATCCGAGGTTGGTTCTTAAACCGCTCTGAAAACATGTTCCATATGCTTAAAAACCGTATTCTCAGATTCTCAGACCCAATAGATGCACAAACGAACTAATATCTGGGCCTTATTTGGTAGCATAGGGTTTTGGGGGCCCATTATACCATACTTATAATAAGGAGCCCCCCAAGATAGTGAGTAATTATTCAGGCCAAGACAGCATCTCCGAGGCCTGGCTTTCATCAACATGTCTTGCCCAACACCGCAGCATTCCGTACCCCGATTTACAGGAAACTAGTTTAGGGTTTAGGGTTTAGGGTTTAGGGTTTAGGGTTTAGGGTTTAGGGTTTAGCCCGAATTACAGGAAACTACAGTTGGGGAGTTTAGGGTATAAGGGGCTTCTATAAGGCTTCCATAAGGTAAGGCTCCTACAACGGTAACTACCCACCTGAAAATGTCCTAGACCGAAGTGCACAATCCCGAGAGACAGATCTCTCACGCCTGACATTCACAACGGCTGGCTGCAACCCAAAATCTCAAAACCCTAAACCCCAAGAAACACACTGAACTCTGAATCCTAAGCCACACAACACCAACTAAGCCTTACCGGACACCCTGAACCCTAAACCCTAAACCCTGAAGACAATATGTGAAGACAATATGTAACGACTGTCGAGGTGTATACAACTCAAATCCGATAGTCGTTATCCTAAACCCTAAACCCTGAACCCCAAACCCGAAAGCCTCAACCCCAAACCCAAAGCCCTGAACCCCAAACCCTAAACCCCAAACCCTAAACCCTGAACCCCAAACCCTAAACCCCACAATTTGAACACCAGGGCCGAGATACTGGTGATATGCGACACGCCTGACTCTTGATGAAAGCTCCCACCGGGACGCAAGGCATTCAGAACCTCCTCGAAGAGCACCTCCCAAAGTCATGTCATAAGGCCGATGTGATGCATGTATACTGACATGCACATGTTTATGCATATAGATATACGTATATGTATGCGTATACATATATATATATATATATATGTATATATATATATATATATATATAATATGTGTGTGTGTACATGCATAACCAGATGTACATGTACATGCATGCATGGCGTCATGGATGGATGGATGGATGGATGGATGGATGGATGGATGGATGGATGGATGGATGGATGGATGGATGGATGGATGGATGGGTGGAAGGATGGATGGATGGCTGTATACATGTAGGTAGGTAGGTGGGCAGGTAGGTAGGTAGGTAGGTAGGTAGGTAGGTAGGTAGGTAGGTAGGTAGGTAGGTAGGTAGGTAGGTAGGTAGGTAGGCAGGTAGGTAGGCAGGCAGGTAGGTAGGTAGGTAGGTAGGGCTAAGTTAAGGTAGGTTAGGTTTAGGCTAGGTTTAGGTTAGGTTTAGGTTAGGTTTGGGTTAGGTTTAGGTTAGGTTTGGGGTTAGGTTTAGGTTAGGTTTGGGTTAGGTTAGATTTAGGTTAGGTTTAGGTTAAGGTTTCGGTTTAGGTTTAGGCTCAGGTTAAGGTTAGGTTTAGTTTAGGTTAGGTTGGGTTGGGTTGGGGTGGGCAAGTAGGTACGTAGCTAGGTGGGTAGGTAGGTAGGTAGGTAGGTAGGTAGGTAGGTAGGTAGGTAGGTAGGTAGGTAGGTACGCGCAGGTATCAAGGCTTCATCCTGAATGAGCTGAGACAAGTCCTTATTTTCAGGCTGTTGATTTGGGAGTTTAGGATATGTAAAGGTTTAGGGTCGAGGGTATAGCAGGCGCAAAACCCTGGCTAGTGGGCGTTTACTTAGACTTGGACGGCAGGGTCATACTCGCTTCGGAAACCCGGAACACCTGAACCCCAAAACACTGAACCCTGACGCCCCAAAACCGTCAAGCCCGAATGTCCAAAAAAACAAACTAGATGCCCAAACGACCACCAACACATAAGGATCTCAATGACATGTCAATCAAGGAGGTCACCCTCAAACGGCCCCTGTAAACTCAGAGCACAGCATAGGTCGATGCTTTTTCCAGCCCTGGAAAATGCTGCCAGTTAAACCATGTTACACCCGACGCCCTAGCACCAGAAGCCCAGACCCTTTGCCAAACCCGACACCTCAAATTTTGGTCTAAGGTTCAGGGCCTGTTTTGAGGGCCAAGGTTTTAATCCAAAGATTTAGAACCAATTTCATAGTCTTTCAGCCCTGAACCCTAAGCCCTAAACCCTAGCTCGCAACCCCAAACCCTAAACCCGAACAGCCTCGAGCTTGGTCTCGACACGCCATATATCCAAGGTTTTGGCGTTTCCGCGGAGGCGCGAAGCCTTGTTTGCGCCGCTAGGAGACATGGGGTACAAGGTCTTCCGACTTGGCGGGGGGGTTAATAATGACCAAGAAGAATGAAAGAAGAAGATGGCGCATTATGATGAGCATGATGACGTTGGTAACGATGACGACGATCATGACGACGACGACGACGACGACGACGACGACGACGACGACGTCAAAGATGACCATGACGACGATGGCGATTGTGATTGCGATGGTGATGGCGATGGCGACGGTGCTGTACTGCTTGTCTTCGCGTTTTGGGTCTGAGGTCTGGGGTGTTCCCCCATCATCATCATGATCATCAACATCATCACCATCATCAACATCAACATCAACATCACCACCATCAACAACATCAACATCACCATGACGATCATCACCATCATCATCATGGGTCGTTAGATTTCGGGGGTTTCAGGGTCGGGATTACCACTGAGGAGGCTTGGCTTTTTGCGAAGCCTTTTAAACCCTAAACCCTAAACCCAAAGCCCTAAACCCTAAATCCTAAACCCGAAGCCATGGAGCACCCTCCACGAACTCCATGAGAGTGATCTCACCATCGCCATTATCCAAGAACCTCGGCGAAGCCGTGGAGGGTTCTTGGGGGATTTTGCTCCATTTAACAGAGTATCTCTAGGGCTCTATGACAAGATCCCCTGTAAAAGGGTACTACAGGGTTCTATAATAAGGTCCCCTTTACAGGGTACTATAAGGTTCCATACTAGGGTCCCCTTGAAAGGGTACTAGAGGGTTCTATAATAGGGCACTACAGGGATAGGGGAACGGAAAAGTAAAACTGTAGCTCAGCTATGTATGCGGTCCTGAAGCCACCGACCACATGACGCGGTCCGTCTCTGGGCTGGTCACAACTCGACACTGTGATGGACATGCTGTTGGGACCAGGGATCAGTCGCACACGGTTTAGGGTTCAGGGCCCAGAGTTGAGGGGTTCGGAAGTTGGATTTACCTGAATGGCCGGAATAGCCCTACGTGCTGCACCTTGATTGGCCTTCGATCACGACGAGTGGCTCGAACAATGACAGCATATCATGGTACTCCAACTCCAACTGCGAGAGCCAGAACCTGAGATCAGGGGATACATGGACGGTGTTACTGCACAGTGTTCAAGCTTGGCGCCTTGAGTTTTCAAGAAGAAGACCCGCAAAGAACCGCCAACCTACCTCGGATTGCCGAATAATCTGACCTTTGGCATTGTCCGAGAAGTGAAGATTGAAGGCAACTCGAAACCCCGTAAGACCAAAGCTTTCAACCCCAAATCTCACATGCTAAATACTCTTAACCCTAAAACCTAAACCCACGAACCAGAACACAAGCGCATGCACCCCGCAGCTGACAGTCAGTTCGAACATCGTCAATCCTAGAACCCATGCGAACCCTCCGTCCCGGGCACCTCCCAACTCTAAGCCCTGGACTAAACCCCTGAACCAGAACCCCTAGACCCTAAACCCTAAACCCTAAACCCTAAACTCTAGCCTTTATTCCGAAAGCCGCTGTATGCTACCCTAAGCCTCAAACCCTAAATGCCCCGCCTAAACCCTCAGCCCCTGCAAGAACCCAGAGGCCTCCCCAGGTAGGCTGGGCTTATGGATGGGGGCTTCAGAGTTCTATAATGTAGGGGTTTATAGGGTTTAGGGTTTAGGGTTTAGGGTTTAGGGTTAGGGTTTGTGGGTTAAGGGTGTAGGGACGGTGTTTTCAAAGTGAGGGACAATTAGGGCTTAGGGTCTTAGGGTCTTATGGTTTTCGGGTTTAGGGTCTTATAAGGGCCTTAGGGGTTTAGGGTTTAGGGTTCAGGGTTTAGGGCTTAGGGTCTTAGGGTCTTAGGGTTTTCGGGTTCAGGGTTTAGGGTCTACGGATTTTGAGTTTAGGCTTACTTCCCCAATCAGCCCGGGAAATAAAAAGGACAAACTTTCAGATTACTACTCAGCTATGATAACCCAAAAAGTTTAAAGGTTGGGTATTGGAGAGCTTGCACCTTCAGAGCAACACCTGCAAACAGCTTAGTTTAGGATTTTGGTAAAGTGAAAGGATTTAGGGATTTGGGTATATAAGGGGGTTTGGGTTCATTATCAGGGTAAGCATCTTCACTCAGAGTTGAACGTATTTAACCTCTGCGCCTTCTGGCAAGCCTGGGTCTTGAACTGAATTGTTGGGTGCATCTCTTCTATTTACAACTGTTACTTGAAGCTCCGGGTGCACATGTCCATGGAGTGAACCGCATCCAACCGTAAACTCTAAACCCTGTACCCCGAGTCCTGAACCCTAAACCCTGAGACCCTAAACACCTGCACGCCAAACCCCCGAACCCCAAACCCAGAGCCATGCTAACTCACGTGGAGATGCTTCAGCTTCGGCGACTGCACGAGCTTGGAGAACTCCTCAGCACGGTGTGCAAAGTCTAGGGTGTGCTGCCAAACACATAATGATAACAATACTGCTACTACTACTACTACTACTACTACTACTACACATAACAATAACAACAATAATAATACACTGATAGAAATACGGATCGTAATCATAATAGTAAAAAGGATGAAAAATAAGAATAGGAGCAATTAAAAACGACATAAAATCGTAATCATACTCATAGTAATAACAATCGGAAAATTAGTAGAGCTTTGAGTTTAGAGGCTTGTTTAGAGTTTAGGGCTGTCACGAGCAGTCTGAATCCTACAGTCAGAACCCTCCCTGAGAAGTTGAAGTCGAAGGCTCAAGCCCTCAACTAGGGTTTAGGGTTGATGGTTTGGGTGTAAGGTTTAGGGGTTTAGGGTTTGGGGTTTAGGGGTTTAGGGTTTTAGGGTTTAGGGCTTCGTGTTTAGGGCCTAAGGTGGAGGGCCCTTGGTTCCGGGCTTAGGGTTTGGGGGTTCGGGTATAGGGCTTAGTGATTCTGAACGAGCTACCTGCTTGCATCAATTTAATTAGATCCAGGGTTTAGGGTCTAGGGTTTAAGGTTTAGGGTTTAGGGTTTAGGTTAACTACCAATATTGTTTTAGGGGCTCCTTACTATCACCATAGTAGAATGGGACCTAAAACCCTACACTATTTATTAAGGGCCACTATAGAACTCTTGATGATATAAATCCTGCCTTACCTTAAGAATCCTAAACTATGGGAATTATGGTATATGCCTTGTTATTCGTGGCCCTTAACCCCTAAACCCTAAACCCTAAACCCTAAACCCTAAACCCTAAACCCAGTCCTGGAGGTTGATCGCACCATCTCCTGATGCATCCACTGTTTGGAAAAGCTTCCTCGGCTGCATCGTATCACGGTCAGGGGTTTAGGATTTAGGGGTTTAGGGGTTTAGGGGTTTAGGGGTTTAGGGGTTTAGGGTTTAGGGTTTAGGGTTTAGGGTTTAGGGTTTAGGGCTACCGTGCAAGAACATGGCGAATCTGGCCAGGATGCTTAACTTTTCTGATGTAGGATGCTGTGTCCTGACCCACAACAGGAACCAGCTCAATACATGGCACACCGACAAATGCATGGATACCAGTGGGACTTCTATCTTCGTTATCCCAATCGTCGTCCTTCTCCTTCTGCTTGAAAGCAAGCTCTTCATCAGAGCTCGCGGTCTTCATCGTCTGCTGAACGAAAACTGCGTTGACGACATTGAGGACCTTGTAGGAAGGCCCTAAACCCTAAACCCTAAACCCTGAAGGTTCAAACGAGGTCTTGTGCCAAGCCCACTGCTGCATCCTACTTCAGCACTGCACAAGAGCCTTTCGCTGGCAACCAGAATGCCAAGAACAAGATAAGGCTGGTAATTATGTAGGTGGTTGTCAAAATTAGGGTCCC